CATTTCTATTGGATGAAGATTGTTTACCTACAGCGTGCTTATGTGAATTTTTGGAGATATCTGGACTGAGAAATGGACGCCTCGAAAGAGATACTCACTGCTGGCATTCTATGGATCAGGAATTTCTCATAATTTAGGCAATCTCTAAAGCTTCGCCCATTTCTGTAAACTTGAGATTAGCACACCTAACTACAATATTTGAAGAGAAACTCAGCTATTCACTGCGCGAAGAATTGCAAATTTTTCCAATTTGACACTTATAAGCTTACAACAAGTAGGCTTAGAAAAGTGAACTTTTTTGAATTTTCTCTTTTCTTTTCGCAGAGCTCTTTCGTCCGAGTCTCTTCTACCTACAAAATAAGCTGATTGCCAGCCATACGAACAAAACTTGAAGGGAGTTGTAAGCTTTTAAAGAAGAGGTTTTCGAGAGAAAAACTTTTAGCTTTTTGACGCGTGATTTTCTTCCGAACTGCGATATCAGTATGAGCAGGCGCGCGCTAAATTACAAAAGGTTTGCTGTTTCTGAAGGTCTTGACTGCATTCAAAAATATGAAGACTGAACGAAGTTATAGCCCTCCAAAGTGAAAATTTGCAAAACGGACGTTATTTTTGCAACAACCTAATAGTTTTTGCCGTATCCAACACTCAATAACGTTTACAATGCTCTGTTCTTTCACAATTTTTCTAAGATCAAGATTATAATTCGAAAAATCTTACGTAATTCACAAACGCAGAGCTGTATTAAGTTCGCTTGAGTTTACGACTCATAGGCGTTGAACCGCGCTGCAGCCGCCGATGTGTTATTTGGTGTGATCCCACTATGCAGGGTCGGGGGAGTTTGTTTTCGCGTAGAAGTGGAAATCTTCGAAATGTAAAGTCAATTTTATGTAGTAAACAGTTGAGTAATCAATATTTATTAATTTCATAAAACTTCTTGCCGAGCTTCATGATTACGATAAAAATATCGTGTTCAAGTACTTTCAAGCGAGTCTGTAATTATGAAGAGGTCCACTTGTCAACCGGACTATCATTTTTAGATGCGTGGTAAATACTATGTCCTTCAAACTCTGCCTTTGCTTAGGTTGACTTTGACTTCTTTTGACAATCTCTAGTCTAAACATTGTTTTTCTTTTTCACACAAAAATATTTCGGACCAAAATATAAATTCTGTTCAAATCCAGAAAACGTTTCTGTTTCACGAAATTGTCAGACCTTAATTCGAAACATTTTTCTACTAATACCGATTTTGGTTGTTTTGGGAAGCTCATTCTAGCTATCGGTGTTGTATGAAGGAAAACCAATTGTGCGCTTAATTCTTGATTTTTTCGCTTTCTCTGGATCTCGTATTGATGTAGAAGTTGATTTTTTGCAATGACTAATTTGTTTCAACTCAATGGTTCTTTTTTTCGGATGGCATTGAAGAAAAAACTGCAAAAGCGGTATGCATACAAAACGCAGCAGAAACTGTGGAAAACATTTATTTCCGCAAATTTGGCAATTTCCAACTTGAAGGCACTCTTGTGGCGAAGGAATTGTTTGCATAAAAATTTTTTTTTGAAAGGGGAGACGAAAGCTCAAGGCGTCTGGCTTTTGGCCCATATTGGACCTAACCAATTCGCGCCTGTTGGAAGGAGTGCAAATCTGAACTCCTCCATTAAAAATTCTGGATGGACTGAGTACCTAACCGAGCGAGGAGTCTGTTTTTGAGCCCAAGTGACGGAAGTAGGGACTCGAATGAGCGCAAGAATATGTTGGACTGGGAAATCAACCAGCAAAGAGCTTCTTTTTCCGCATTCTTGTCCGTCTTTAAGAGTCTGGAACTATTCTGGTCATCTCGTTCCCAATGTACCGATGTGATGAGATTCTAATGCGCATCGTTCCAATTGCCTCTCGTCCCACATTTGTCATGATGTGGAGATGAAAAAACGTCTGCAGCCTAATTACTTTGCTAGGGTGGTCGCTTTACAGTGAGATCTTAGATTTTGTCAGTTATGAATGCAAATGCATTACGAATAGATTTTTGACGCATATTTGGTCCTTACGTGACAAGCTTTGCACAATTTCAGCGATGTGATAACTTCACGCGTTCCAGGCCGCCTCCAAATAAGTCTGATGTCAGCAGAGAAGTCAAATTTCGTAGAGTAACTTACTGGAAATTCAACACATTTGCACAGATCTTGGAAATAGCATAAATCACAAAAAGAAAATTTTTTAAAAGTGCTCTGTGCCATAGCTTACATCGCCGCCAGAAGGTTGAATATCGTGAGATTTGTAACCTAATAGCGTAGTGCACACCACGCGCGTTATTTCACGACTTTTAGAGTTAGAACGTGTCAACTTTCAAAGATGTCTCCTTGCTTTATCTTTTGGTTTGACTGGATATATATCAGGTTTAGCACACGTTCCTATAGTTTAGTCCGCGAAAAATTTTACCTGTAAAAAAAATCGTCTTTGCGATGATGCGCCAATTTAAGAAAATTCCTTAGAACAATTCAAAACATAGTCTTTGTCACGTGATCATGGTTGGGAAACCCTGGCTTGATAGCGGATAGCTCTCAAAACGCTGGCATTTCGATATCTAGAGTGTGCGAGGAAATATGTAGACAACAAATGTGGTCTTGCCGCGAAAGTCGTGCGTCGCAGATGTGACGCAAAGCTTGAGCAAAGCGGACACGCGTTATGTGTCGGAGTAGCTCCGATTAAACAGACTCTAGGTAGCAGTGGCGAACTACGAGAAGCTCCCAAAAAAGGGGTTGGGATTTTTGGAACTTTTGAATTCCAAGAAGGTAGTGACTGGTTCTTGTTCACAGCTAAACGAAAAATTTTGAAAAATCACAAAAAAAAAGAATTGGCTGCGAAAAGAACTGGATGGGGATGTTGAGGGTATATATGAGTTCGCCAAAAATACAAGGATCATTCTAGACTTTGAAACTCTGGACTTCTCAAAAATTCTAAAACTGCCACAAGCGAGGAGTAGTTGAGTACCAATTACCGACCAAATTTTTTTTCTACCCTGATCTAATCATGTTCACAATTAGAGAAATGACATGGTCGATGTGCTTTAAATTTGTCACTATCCACCTTATCATCACCGGCAGCTCCCTTTGCACTTGACCGATGAACATTGGCTATAAAAGGTTGTAGACAGTTGTTTACAACAAGAAAGTTTATTTTTGACAGCCTTTGAAGAAGTCGCGCATGTTGTTTATTCCAGTTCATCACAGACCACTGTGATATTTTGAGAACGACCTGAATTGTTCCACACTTAACACAAGTGCACGTTTTCCACTGTGGCTGTTTTATCGTAGAGGATTCCCCTCTCGTTGTCAACAAGTAGAGGCTAGTCCCTGAAAAGTGGATGATCTACGGTAGGCGCCAGACTTATCCGGTTCAATCGGTTCGTGCGATTTACCCATTCGCTATTGGTCAAATCACTGAAATGTTCAATTGCGAATGGAGTGAACCGGACGAAGCGGTGCGAACACCGCGTTGGAGCACTCTGGCGTAAGCCTTGCTCCTGGACAGCTGCTTGTGTGTGGGACTAGGCTATGCCGATCATAAAGGATTTCCTCGTACATGGCTCCTAAATTGCAGAGTCGTTTGCACCAGCGGTCGCGCGACCGCGTCGCGCCCGTGCATTTTGCCGGCGCCGGCGCCATCGATCGAGGTGGCGCCATTGATGCCCGGACGCGACGCGGTCGCGCGACCGCTGGTGCAAACGACTGCAATTTAGGAGCCCTGTAGTTTGTGAAGGCAGTCTGCACTGCATCGTCTTCCCCCCCCCCCTTCCCCCAGAAGTGTTCTCATACATATGGGATCCGTCATACTTCGCCGAAAAAAGTCCAAAAAGCCCAAAAAAGCCCGAAAGAGCCGAAACGCTCCTTCCGTTTTGACGCTAAGGCATGTGTGTTGATTTCGCAACAAAGTCGTTTTGCTTCATTTTCTGTCGTCTGCACATCAAAATAATGGCAGAATTCTACTATTCTATTCTAATTCCATAAGTTCGTTTCTGCGTTCCGGCTCTTTCGGGCCTTCTCCGGCTTTTTGGGCTTTTCGGGTTCTTCTGGGCGCTTTTGGGCTTTTCGCGGCGAAGTATGACGGATCCCTTTAGGTCGTGCCCCGGAGAGGTTCTCTTAGATATCGTCGATGTTGACCGCACGGACTGCTCAAACGCTGCGGACCACGCGTGGCCCGGCTGAATTGTCGCGAGAGCACGACTTGTACAATGGCGAATTTGTGTTGGGGCAAGCGTTTTACCTCGCGACGCGTGCTCTGCAGTGATGTCCAGTCCGTGTGTCAACCAACAAATCAACTATACTATCCACGTGGCTGCCTTTCGATCGTTTTCCGTTGACTCTAGCAAATTTAAGGCTCTTAGTCCAATTTTATATGTTAAAACAATCAAAAGGCAGTCAGTTGATGGTACCTATGGGAACATTTGCGGGGGACAAACCATTGTGCCCTTTGTACCCTATGAAAGCGATTTATCATAAGCCATTCGCAAGGCGCTCCATGGGCTAAAAAGGGCCTACATTAATTTCACCTTTCTAGTTTAAAAGAATAACATACATATTTGAACACCATTGACTGCAGAACGACAAAGAGGAAAGAATCTGCGCTGTCAATTTCTATTTTGATTTTCCCGCACTGTGACTCATCTAATCCGCACGTACACACATGGAACTCATTCCATTCCACGGCAACTTTTCTTATTGAGGTGCTGATTTCAAAGTTTTGTCATTAGTCATAGTGTTCTTGGTGTTTTTAGCCCATTTTCACAATCTAAACAAACGGGTTATATCAGTGGACTATCGTCGTTCTAAATTCGTTATTTGTCTGCCGAAAAATATCCATCAAATTGTGAGTGATTGCGCTTTTCTCTGCTTGTATGTGTCCTTTAACTATCACTTGTCCCTAATGACTTCGCCGGTTTCCTGCACAACATGTGGTTTTGTATAGTTCATTCGGCTTTGCATCGATTTGTCAATAATTTGCATCTGGTTATCCCTGATGCCACGTCGATTCTTTGCAGATTTTCGCATGATTTCATCTCTCGCTTCATAATATTGCAATCATGGCTGCAGCCGACACAATGGACTACGAATATGTACATCATTTTTGGGTTAGTTCTTTTGACTTTCTTCTCATTACTCTTCTGTTTTTTCTTTAGATTTAGAAATGCATGCAATGTCAGAACATGTAACTTTTTAGGGTGAAAAGCATCTTGGTTTCCATGTGCTCTATGAGAACATGAAGCATGGCGAAGAGACAGTGAACGAAATTGGGCAGTTTATCAAGGAACGTCTGGCAATGGAAGAAGAATACGGCAAAATGTTTACGAAAAGCATTAACAGGGTATGTGTTTTTCTCAGATAAAACTTGAAATTCTGACAGTCATGAAATTGATAATTTTCTGCGCAATCAAGAAAATTCGAAATTTGCTTTTGTTTCAGCTATGCATTATGGCTGGAGACTACTTTAAAACATTCGTATCTTTAATATCACTTTTATACAAGCACGAATGTTCTGCTTTTGTAGGCCGACTCAAAGTGGAGGTTTCGAGAAAATTTTTATCACTTTTGGCATCGACGTAGAATGCGGAAAAAAATCTCGATGCAAAATACTCGATAGTCTTTCTGTTATGAAGGCAGCTATGGTTTATCTTATCCATCTCTTTTCTCGAAAGTCTTGGTTTTTATCGGCCTTCTCAAAGCTTGCGCTTAAAGTAATTTATGGTTTTGCCAAGCAAGATACCATAATCATTTTCCTGGCATCAACTGCGTCTGACATATATCATCTTCTTGTTCACTGCACGGCTGTTTCAAAATTACCCAAATACATAGGCAGCGGGGGACTTTTCATTCGTTTTCAACTGTTGTTTTTTCAATTTTACCATTGTTAGCGACTATGAAAAACAAACGCAAAGCGAATTTTTCGTAAGAAGTTGCACGAAAGCTTACTCTTGTTGTGTTAATCTCACTCCAGCTAGAGGTAGTAGGAACCTTTGTGATTAAAGAGTGGGAGGGTGGTAGACTTTTAGCATGAACTGGAACTCCAAAAAATTAGGGGAGGTTTTACAAGCTTTTTTGAAACAAAATCACTAGCAGCATAGGCTCACTGCATGCTTGATCATTTTGTAAGTAGCAAATTCGATATATGTTGCAACTGAATGGTCCATCACATTCTTTGTATACTGCGGAACTGAAATCGCTTTTTATGGCTTTTATCAGTCTTACCCTTCAGGTCACCACTTTCGTCACAAATAATTCGAGTTTGGAGCGTGGATGGACCCTCGCTAAAGGAACTGTTGAACTTCTGGCTGAGATTCATGTAATGTTAGTAAAGAACCTTCAGGTATGCGCACATGGATCGTATAATTTTGCTCACGTTGCGAAAGGTAAATCTTTCAGGATCTTGCTAAAGAAATAGCGAAGTATAAAGAAGATCTGACGAGAGCGCGAAAAGAAGCAAAACAACAAGATATTATCGATGCAGTGAATCTCATGCAAACAACCACGACTTGCTTGCAAAAGGTGACTATCGAATCAGTCTTGCCTTTTGATTTGCTTATCATCTGGATTTTTATTTAGTCGAAAGAGACTTATTTCGCCCGTTGTGCTGAACTGGAAAAATTAAAAAAGGAATCAAACGTCAATCAAAAGGAGATTGGAAAGGTCGTTGATCCCTATACTTACTTCTTGGTTCTTCCACTGCTCATAGTGTCTATTTTCTTACCTTTATACGCATGATTCAACTTTTTGTTCAGATGGAGATGAAAATGTTCAAATCGAAAGAGGAGTATCGTGGCTATGTTGAAAAATACGAAATGGTGAGGAAGGATTTCGAAGAGAAGATGGAAAGAGCTTGCAAGTTTTTTCAGGCACATGATAGGTAAATTCTTCTTTACCATATTTATCACCTTGTCATCCAGATCTTTTTTTACTAATGTCATTTATAGGTCTCACTTCGCAGCTCTACAACAATTTTTACTTTTGTATGCAGCTCATCATCATCAAGCGGCCATAGCCGCGCAACAGGTAAGCATTTGTAAATCTTGGATGAAGTACGTCCGACACGGCTATATATCCTTACCAGGTATCTGGACAATTTCGCGAATCGCTCCAACAACTAAGCGCTGATGATATGGTGGCATGTTTTGTGAAAGCAAAAGCTACTGGGATGGAAAGACCACGTAAGATTGTTTTTGAAAGCCTCATTTTTTTGTTTGTTTTTTTTTTCAAGGTAAATGTCTTTTTTCATTGGTATGTTACAGAGCCCGCTGTGTTTGAAGAACCTCCGGATTCATCTATCGTAAACGAAGAGGAGTTGCAAAGGCAACAAAGTGGATCCATGCCTTCGTCTAGCTGTTCTTCTGGTGTTGTACCGTCAAACCCTCCTCCAGCTGCTCCTACTGCTGATGGGTTGCTGTCTTTGAACCCTTTGGAAGCATGGAATGATGATAAGGAAGCACAAGTAAGCGGGATGAATGATTGCAAAATATTGCAAGAGCGTCATGTCTGCATCTTCTTTAGTTTATTTTGCTTTACATTTTCTCGTTATCCTTTGAATGCATAATAGATGCTCAAAACCTAAAAGGACCCAGTTTTTGTGAAATTGTTAGCAAATTCAGATTTCCATCATAGACTTCTCACAAGCGACAAACTGTCAAACAAGTAGACCAGTGGTCAAACAAGCAGTGATTTCCTTGTTTGACAGTTTGTCGCTTGTGAGAAGTCTATGATGGAAATCTGAATTTGTTAATAATTTTAGCAAATACTGGGTCTTTTTGGGTTTTGAGCAAACCTTGACAAAACATGTAAAAGCAGCTTTTCTGGTGCAGTTTCATCAAAGCTTTGGGAGAGAATTTTTTCTAGAATTCTGGGTTTTCGCAACAAAATATAGTGTCCTCTTGAGAGTGTCTGTCAAGTATGGACTTGAGCTCTCAGAAGTTTTTGTGTTAAAATGCAACTGGCTGACGATTCTGGAAGCTTTATTTCTCTATGCTGACTGCAAGTTTCATTTCTCGCAGGCAATTGCGAGAATATGCCCCCGTTCTAAAATTGCAGACTAGTTTGATGTTTTTCTTTTCGCAAGTCATGCCCTGCATTATGAGTTCTGCTTCATAATCACTTCATATACCTTCGTGCAACTTTTCAATTTCCTAGTGTCGAGGCGTTTTGCCGATTTTTGTTCACTCACATCTAACAAGCAGCTTGTAAGCAGAGCTTTGTAAGCTCAAACCAGCCCAAAAAAGAAATCAATAATTATTTGTTTTTTCCTTTGTTGCACTTGCACTATCACCATTTGAATGTACTAGTTTCATCAAAACTACCATGTTTTGGTCTCAGCAGAAATTCACATCGTTTTTCCAGCTGCTGCCATCACCTACAGCTTCTCACAGTAGCGATTCTACAGCGGGTGCTGCCCACACTATACCTCCATTTTCGGCATCTGTTGGAGGTACTGGAACAACAGGTCGGCAAAAGTTATCGCTCTTCCTTCCGAAAAGAAAGAAGACAATGTCACAAAGTAGCGGCAACGAGGATCACGCAGAAAGTACTGGAGGTGAGCATACTCAATGGAGTACAAGTTTCTTGTGTTTCGGCAGTGCCAAGAGCAACGAAAACATTTTTTTTATGCTTTCAATATTTGCGCTTTCATATTCTATTTTCGAATCAATCTCATTCGTACGTCACAAAAACATTCTTACACAGCTTATTATATTCCTGATGATATTCTTTCCTCGTGAAAGTGGTCACGTTCCCTCCCGACATGACACCAATCTTGTGAATTTGGCTGTGGCTTATTTCCTCTCCTAGTTCATGCTTGAGATGGCACTTTTTAGTTTTATGCATTCATGGCTAGTCTTTCAAACATACACAACTCAAGATTTCATTTTCTGCACTTCTCTCACGAACTCCATTGTGATGTTCCACGTTGTGCTCAATTTAGCTAGAGTTGCTCACTCAATGGAATGTGGCCGCTAAGTTTAGGCTATCTTTGCTCAGGCCATGTAGCCGCGACTGTCAAATAATGCAAAGCAGCTGCACTTTCAGTTACCGGAGGAGAAAAACATTTGCGTTCCGAAAATATCTTAAAGAAGGCCAAGATTGTTTGATCGATTGGGCGTTGTCTGGAAAGCTTTGCAGCTACTAAAATGGGTTATTTGTTCCAAGGACTCAGCCGACTTTGGGTTCTCTTGTTTTTCCTTCTTCGTACTGCCGCTATCCATTTTTATTGGAAGCATTTCTGCTCTTTTTTTATAGGATATGTGTATCTTTTATTGGTTCCTTATTTCATAGCATTCTCCAATGCTGCACATTTATCTCAGGCTAAATTTGACCGAAATGCCACTCATTTGTCTCTTATACGCGCCCAAAGCATGGAAATTCATTCATTACATCTTTGCAAGGACCTTGCATCAAAAAAAAACATATCATTTCATCTCATTTGTATTCTGCCTCGGGAACAAAGGTGGCCCTGCAACTTGAACTACGCTTTGTCTTATTCTCCATGGCTGCAAGAACCGCCTTCTTTAGTCCTGCTCACGAAACTCCTGAAAAGGTCTCATTGTTTGCTCTTGTCTTCGATATGTTATGCCAAAACATTCTATAACGTCTTTCGGCTTCGAGATCGTCTTGCGATTGCGAATGCTGCGCATCTTGCGAATCTTGCAGTTTCCTTCTACTGGTTTGAGGGGAGTTCGTGCCTCAAACTTGATTTCACAGCATTGTGGTGGGCTTCTATGTCCGCTTTACGAACTTTCGCAAAGTGGTGCGTTACTGTGCTCTGATTCCTTCCTCTTTGTATTGTACTTGGAACCTGAACACTTTCGAACGTACTTATAAGAATGAAGGGTATGTCCCAGCCACATAAGAGCGTTTGGACATTTTTTCGACGATCATTCAAGCAAACAATAAGTAGTTGCTATTTTGTGATTGTAGAGGACCTTGTTCTCTGATGCCATAGTTGGCTGCAGTCTTCCTCCTCGCTGGCTCTTTTATATCAGTCACTTCCCGAATGATTATTCAGTCATATGTTTTCGTATTGCACAACCTTTCTTTCTTTGTCGTATACAACTTTATTCGTTGGCAATTAATTGCTTCTATGGCGTTCTCCATGTCGAAATATACTCTTTCCAATTTTGTCTTCGAGAAAACGTGACATAGTTCATGCGCTATATATTCTGCTTTTCGCTTCCACTCTGATCTTATTTCAGCATGTTTTTTCGGCGCTAATCCTCTCACCGATGGCAAATGTATTTTTATCTGGGATTTTTCGTGCATATTTTTGCATATTGTTGACCTTGTCACCCCCTCCGTCGTCAAACGATTTTTTTCCTGTCGTACAGCGGTAGATCAGTTTGAATATGTGATTTTTTGCGGACCGGATTACGCTTAGAAACTGTTTTTTGTTAATTATCTAGCAGTGAGCATCTGTCCAATTTTTTAGTCATCTTCTTTTTTGCTCTGAGCTTCATCTCTTGATATTTGATGTTGAGCCTAACGCTCAGATGGCTCTCATTTTCTTTCTTCTTCATGGCCGGTCAACCTTCTTTTATTGGCAAGATGACATTTGAAGAGACAAATAGGACACGCACGTCTTAAAACCAGTGACTCGGTAATAGCAAGTTCTAGCTGAAATATCTCCTATAGAATGCCAACCTAGTATATGTTCGTAGCTGCTCCTCTATCTTCAGCTTTTTAATTACTCTCATTTCCCATCCCACTATCGTATGTAAAGTTTGAAATAGTGGAGAATATAGAAGTGAACTCCATTATTTTGCTGACCAAGGTGGTGGGTAATCTAAGAAGTAGAAGCTAGGAGGCCGGAAGTTCTCAGATATTGGAAAAGACCTATTCAAGGGCTTTTTTGTTTCCTCTTTTTGCTTGTGCTATTGTTTCTGTCTCCATAAATTATGCAATTAACCATCGATTGTTGGTGCGCAGCTTTGTTTTTCAGGAACCCATAGTCTTTCTAGTGCTTCAGCGCTTATCTCAAGTATAAAGGTTCGCATTTGCTTGAGTCTGTGCTTCACATTGTTTTTTGCATAATCAGAACGCTTTCACTGAGGATTCTTGTCGTGTGTTTCGATTTCGGCAAATTGCCATGCTCGTGAGACTTGGCTATCCATCTTATTTTGGACGTCATGCCTTTTTATGGTTGTATTTGTTTGCTTCTTTCTTTCATTCTCCATCCTTTTAAGGCTTGGGTAATGGTCGTGCTATGTAACTAATTAGTCGGAATATCTGATCTGTTTTCACGTTCCGCTTTTCAGTCTCCCTTACTCTTCCTATGGGCTTATGAGTTAGCCTAATGGCTTGTTTTTGCATTTTTATCGACCAAGCGAGGTAAATACTGACCCAGAGATCTTGCGCTTTATCTGTGTAATCTAAAACTTCTCAATCTCTTTTTCGCTGCCTAGGACAGTTGTTAGTTTTCAGGCAACGCAATGGCTGTCATATCATACCTCATAAAATCCAAGCGTATGCACATTTTTAGAGCGTACATGAGAGTAGTTGCTTTTCTGAAGGACCTACATTCTGAGCAATTTGCATCTTCTATATTTTGCAAGGGGGGGAGGGGAGGAATCAGTCCGGCATGATAATGAGGTGGTTTGTTTGTATTCTGCGTAGTATGCGCCTAGCCTTTAAGGATTTTATCAGGAAAAAGACCTATTTGATGGAGCTAGAAAGCTGCGGCATCGTTTTGTTATTTGACGAAATTATAACTCTTTTTGCAGCTGCAAAGCAAATGTGAGTTTCCTAATCAAATTATTGTAAAATATTGAAATATTCAGCAAGTTCTGAGTTCAATTTTGGTTTGGTTCTTCACCTGTTTCGTTGACGATAAAACTAAATTTCTCCTAATTGAAAATTACTGAGCTGTATCGAATTTCTTTCGCATTCCAGTCGATAATAAAATCTTATTGTACATAATGATATGCCAATGATATACTGCACGTTCTGAGTACAATGGAAAAAGTACAGATTATACTGCTTTTCAAGCATTTTGAAAAAACCTCCACGTTTTGGTGTAAGACTTATGTTCCAACTCATGCTCGGACGAACTTGTTCCAGAAGTGCCCGAAAATGTTCGCATATTGAGGACTTGTGAAAGATTTCCTGAGTTTTGATTCCGATTCTCTATCTGTTCCGAATGATCCTGTTTGAACTTACGGGGACTTGAGAGCGAATTTTATTCTCTTTGCTTGTATTCGTAGCATTCCAGTGAAAAACGTTGAGCCGTGTCCAGTGTGTTCATTATCTTGTTTTAAGTGACAGATGCAATTAGTCTATTCTTGGGCGCACGAAATGCATAAGTCAATTACAAGCAGCTCCTTCAGTTATTCTACAAGATTAATGTCTGTCGAGGATTTCCCTATTAGGCAGTAGTATGAACACTTGCTCTCTGATATTTATAGCCTTCATGGATTTGTTATACTTCTTGATTAGATACGCCCCCTATTGCAGACTTTGTCCCAACGTCACGAGATCATCCATAAATCGCATCCTTATTCTCAATTATTTTTCATATCTTACATTGAATAACATCTCTTAGCAACTGCTACTTTCTTTGGCAAATAGCTCAGTCCTGTGTTCTATGGGTTTTTTATCCTGCACTCCAATCCGATTTTCCTACCTGGTGAGCGTGAAACAAGTATATTATACTCTAAGAACCACCCTCATGAGTGGAAACAGTTTAGAGGAATGAACTTGTTTTTTTTTGGTAATTACGGAAGATAAACCTAGCCGGTGATGTTCTCAAAAGGGACTTGGGGCTTTTTACTTCTCTCTGACCAGTTGTTCAGAGATGCGATCTTAGACTTGTTATGAAGTCCCTTTAGGGATCTCTCGCCCATGCACTCGCTTTTTCTTACTTTACCAATACACGTCCGTTTGTAGTAGTATCCTGATACTAGTGTAAATTCTATATCTGGGAGACCTTTTCTTTTAATTTTCCTTTTAGAAGTCATAAGAAATATTCCAAAAAAATGGTTCTGTTAGTCATCATCAATTCCGTCTATACCTCCTTGACCTGTGCTTCACATTGCTTAGTTTTAACAAAAGGCTGGTACACACATCGTTTTGGGTGTGCAGATACTTTTCTACTTCATGAACCACCTAACATATTCTTCTCGCTCTCTTATCGGAGTGTGCATCCGTTTTATGAGGGAGTTAGTTACAGCTTCTTATTTTTCTTTTTGGATTCTTAATCAATAGTCAGTTTCGCTTATTGATAGAATCTTTGGCTTCTAGTCTTCCTAGCATTCAGCTGGATTATTCGAAACTCCTTCCATAGCAACGACTTTACATCATAGTAGGTAGCAATCTAGTGCACATTATGAATGATGACAGGTTTCCGTCCGGAAGCTATTCGTTACCTCGATAATTGTCTTGCATTTTTGACTAGCGGTATGCAGAAGTGTATATATAGGTTATTCAGCTTTCGCAAAATATTTCAGGACACTTGGTTTTCGTTTTCTCAGTGAAATTCCGTTTAGCTTTGCTTTAGTTTTGCTCTAAGAAATCTGTCAGTTTCTCCCAGAATTCATGTGAATGGAGTAAGAAACTATAGTTTGCAAATTGTGTGATTGATGTGTACAATTTACAGGTTTTCGCAGCCTGTTTCGGGGTGAGGGGGGTGGTTTCTTTTCTAGCAAAAAAAGAGTGTACTGGGGGTACACTAAAAATTTTTTTTGTTGAGAAACCCTGTGGATTCTAATCTATAAAACTCTTGGGCCTTTTACAGGGAGTTGAAGCTTTTGAAGCTAGTGACTTGCAATATTACTGCTGTTGTTTATTACTCACTAAAGTTTTTGACCCTTGTGGGGACCCTACGCAACTTTATTTTGCAACGTCCCGGCAGTGTTTAGAGCGATGTGCGTGCTCCGTCACCTATTATCTATTTACCTCGGACGTCACAACTTTTTGGAGCACGCAAGGGAAGTCCCAGTGAATCTTCAATTCATTCCAAGCTATGGTGTATTGCAATTTGATTGGGCTGAACTTGGTCGCGCAAAATGCATTTGCCCAATCTCAATTTTCCTAGTAGATTATGTTGCACTTGTTCATTTCCGTTGTTTTCCGGATTCTTCAAACATTCACGAAAAACTATTCCTGGTAAAAATTCTTGTGTGATCCCATCCAATGTCCATATTTTTTGGCAGGACCATGGGTTTGCTTCGAACAGCATATCATTATCGATATGAAATTGTAGTAGGTTGCTGCATGAGTTTTGTAACAAAATTTTTGGAACTATATAATTTTCTCCATCTTTAACGAAATCTGATTTGATAAAAAAAATGAAACCTAGCGCTTTCTAGAATTGCCTGAATTAAAATTCTTTTCTGACATGACAGTGATGCAAGCTGAACAAAGGGAAGTTTTCGAGATTTTTGCCTTTGAAGTTGCTAATAAATACGTCTACTAAAATTTTTTTATCATTTTGGACTAACGGTCTCTTTTCTTTCACCCAGTACCATATTAGGTGGTTGTTTTTGCACATGTCTGTTTTTGAAGTCGTTGATCCGTATAACGTTCATGGTGACTACTCAAAGCAAATCATCTGATTTGCTAAGTACTTTGAACAATTTTCAAAATCATTTTTCCAATATTTTGGTTGCAAAACTTCTGCAACACTATAAATTATTAATTAGAGTTGCTACTCTGTCCACTGTTTTTCTCATTCACTGAGCAAATAGCATCTAGCAGCAAAATGAGATACGATCTTATCTGTTGATGAGTCAGAGATCTCTCTAGAACATGTATTTTTAAGGTCGAGTGTGACTTTGTACTCCTTGTTACTCTTGTTATAGGAATTCATAACTGACAATAATGTTATACATAAGTTCTAGTGCATTTCCATGATTCATACGTCAAACTTCAAAGGAAAGGCGAGCTTATCCTCGGTTTCCAAGGTGAATGGCTTACGTAAAGTAGTAGGATAAGTGTAATACTCTGTAGGAGATTATATTCTGCAAAAAATTGTGACTGCTCAATCCAGTCATGATTTTGGGATGCGAGCGTGAAGTCCGCTCGTTTTACATATACGATGACCTCTTGTACGCTTGATCATGTTTGTATCTTTTCGTATTCCTTTATGTCCTTCGAACTGGAGTGCTATTCTCCTGGAAATCTCATGAAGTCTTCCCTTGGTGAAATGCTGCTTATATTCTTTATTACCGCATCCTTTCAAAATTATGCTTCGAACACATTTTTTTGCATGTCATAATTTCGATCCTTGTAGTCTTCGTATGTTTATCGTCACACGTTCAAAACGTCTTTCCTCTGGAAGACTCTCTACGAAAACATCTAATTAGGGGCGAACGCCTCTTATGTGTAAGTTCTCCTAGGTGAAGGCTCTTGTGTGAGGAGATTAGCATTGAAGCATGTAAGGCTTTCTTTGATGTGCGGATTTTCTTGTTTTCTCATATCAATGATGGATTTGAGTATGCTGTTTATTATTTCTTAGCTAGTACTCAGCACCTATCTTTTTTCCGAGTAAAGTCTTTCTGTCTAAACTACTCACTTGAGCTAAAATTGCGCGAGTGGTTTATTTTCACTCGTAAATGATTTAACGATTTTCAGTACTTTTGAAAAATTTGGACCCACATTTTCATAATACCTTGTAAAGTATTTTGAATTTTTTTTTTGAGGGCGTGCTAGTTCCCCCTCCTTCACTGGAATAAATTCCTTGACCGCTGCTGCGATGCATCTGAGTTGTTAGAACTGTAGGTTCAACATTACTGGAAAATATTTTTGCTGATATAATACCACCAAAGATGCCTTTTTAGTCTTATTGGCAATTTTTGACAGTTGAATGATAAACTACTGAGAACCTAAGTTCTGTCAACCCGTCCTGTCCATCAACCTTCTACATGGGAATCTACACGGCGAATATCCAATGGACACAATTTGATGAGAATTCAAAGCTCTAAAAATTTCTGAAGCATATTTGATGTATGCAATGCATGATTAAGCATTTGAAAATTTTGTGCGAGGCTTTTCATTCAGCACTTGCAGCCTTTTTGTTTGTCAAACGCAAGCGAACTAATATGAAATATCCATACTCTCCGCTGAATGGACTTACAATGTTGTGCAAACCTTTGGTCGTTTATGAAAGCATTACGAACAAAGATTACTGCGAACGTCGGTAATATGGCTTTAAATATAGAAGCACTTATCTTCGCGTAGATTGGTTTCTCTCACTTCATCTTTTTTACCTCAAACTCTGCAACTTTTTATTTGAGATCTCTTTGTTGCTATTATTCGTCGTTCAACTTTTTCAGTCTGTAAATCTCACTTATGCAGATGCTGCGAATTCTTCGTAATCGACGACTTGAGCAGTTGTCCGGATATTCTGGATATGATGAGGGCTTTGTTGATAAAACCACATCATTGGAAGACATCTCAATGAAGACAAAGTTTCTTCACGATCATGTTCTTGCTGGAAGAACAGTTAGTGAGCGACGGTTATCACGTCGTGAAGATTCGTTGGATGCCGAGAAACGCAAACCGAAACCAAAATTCTTCAGAAAAGATCTTGATGATCGAAGGTCAGGATCGGCGCCAGCGATTTTGCGGCGCTGCAAAGAAGGTGTATACAATGTTTTTTGTGGATTCGATATTTTTTATTCTGAAATTGATTGAGAAATACCTGTTATTGAGTTCTGGTACTCAAAGATAATCGATGTTAGGAAAGTTTACTAACTAGGTAGAAGCTGTATTTCCAGTACAAAAGTCATTTTTGCAATTTTGTAAATTTTTTATAACTAAATCTAAAATGTCAAATTTTTTCGATATAGTAAACCGCCGATTTTGTTCAATAATAATAAGGATAATGATAATGTATGTATAATATCATCATCACCAAATAAAATGCAAGTGTAAGTATTTGCACTCTTTTTTCTGGTAAAACAAATATTAAGAGTAAGTTCGACGCAGTATGCAATGTTTTTCATAAATAGGTTCATATTTCCATGTGAACCTCAATCTACGGTTTGCTTATGTCAGTCATCTCGATATTTCAGGCTTGTTCAAATTCCGCCAAAATCGACGTTCGAAAAAATCAACTTCGGATGCGAATCCAACACCGGAGAAATCTGAAGTTATCAGGTAATTTCTTTTTGTTTTTGTTCGTTCAATGTACAGCCCTATCAAAAAATTACTCCAATTTTTCTCGTGAATTCTTGAATGTAAAGCAATGTTGTTTCTTCAACATTTTTTTCTTCATTATCAACCATTATCTCATTCCATAGCTGTTCTTGATTGAAAATGCTGATTAAAAGCTATTTTGCCATGACTTCGCTTTGTGCTTGCTCTTCTGTGTTGCCTTTTATCAGCAGCGAATCGGCGTGAGTTTTTCTCGTCATTGCTCAGCAAAATACTCATGCGACCTCATTCGATTATGAGCTGAGAGACCAAGTATGCTAATGAGATTTGCTCGACTAAATGCATGATATCGGCCTTCTAGTTGATTGCATTGCAATTAGTCGTTTTTCACTCACTTCCGCCTCGTTATCATTTGAATCTATGGTGCTTATGCAGCTGGCCGTGTCTGCCTTATCGAATCTTTCTCGTTGGTGTGTCAGCGCTCAAAAATTATCTTTCGTTGGCTTTTATCCAAAGCATCTGAATTTGCCAATCTTGAGGTACTTCAAAATCAAGACTAATTCTATCTATTGTTAAAATGTATTTGTAACACCTCAGCATTTTCATTTCTCGATCAATATATGTGATGGCTTACTACATCATACTTTGCTTAATAGGTTGGTCAGCAGGCAGTGCTAGGAGAGGGCCAATTTCAGATTTATTTTTGTTGTTCAGGATTGAAGTGCTTTGTAAGCACGCAGAAGCTTTTTTCCCTATGTTGAGATCATCGGAAAGTTGCTGTTCCTTTCTTTGAGTGCTTCAATGAGGCTGATGCGCAAATCTCCAACGATATCTTTGGAACCGTTACATTCCCCAGCAATGAAATTTTCTGTTTGATATATAATAGAAAAGCTTGCGCCTTTTGGATATGAAATCAAAGTGCTTTGTTGGGATACAACAACGATACAGGGTGCTTAAGGCATTACCCAACAATTTCGTCTTATATAATTGAGTCTTATATTCGTTGAAATTGCTAAAACGTCTTCTCAAATCTATATGTAGATGTGGTCTTGATTTGTGTTCTACTCTTCTTGACTAGAAGAAGGTTTATGATCGTAGCCTCTAAAAATGGTTATGAATGTCGAATTTTTGATTTAGCGATATTTTGTAACATGTATTGTGAAATACTCCCTTTGACATACATAACGAAAAAACATATCGCTCAAATTGGATAGTTTGTTTGAGCAATTTCGAAAGGAATTTCTTCTATTTTTTGACGCAATAATTGTGCATCAACTCAATAAAATGATAAGCTTTCCGGCATTGAATCGTACACCGTAGTAGTTGTTTTCATATTGATGAATGACGTCACTATCATTTTCAAAACCTTTAGCTCATGCCGTATCTCACCAGATCAATCTCGGACTGGATTTTTTATTTTTGTTCTTCAACGCTGTCATTTAAACGCTTTTGTTTTTTTTTTTGACAACAGTGAGTGACTGGCACAGGGTGTGACCGTATCTGTTAAAAGGAAGCCATTATTCAGAATTGACAATAGATTTGCATGCGCTAATGGCTGCCTTTGATTTGATCCAAGCTCGATTGCGCTTTTTTGATTGATAGTGTCACTGCGTCGTCAATGATTTTTATTACAACGTCATTTTCAAGATTTTTATCGACAGCCCCATAGCGCTAGCTTTCACTGAACCCTGTCATGAAGACAACTTTATGAACTGCTTTGCATATCAATACAAATCACGATTAGCTATTTCCGCGTTCATAGATGAAAACTATCGTCTCACGCCCTTAGTGGTTCACGGTCACCATTCGCATATCGTTGATGTGAGAATAACCCGACGCAACATGACGTAGCTCATCGTTGGTTCGTTGCGCAGCCAAATCCGATTCTTTTTTCTCGCGCTGTGGGGTGCTTAATGATCGTTATTGATTTTGTATGAATGGCTGCATTGTGAAAAAGTTGTATTTTTTCGTTTGGACCAGAGTGTATGTACTCATTACAGCATGGATGATGTGCATAGTACGGCTAGTAGCACCAGAAGCGATGAAAAGGTGCGTTTCTATACTTCCTTTTGCTCCTTAGTTATGTAATATAGAGTTTTATAGAAAACCAACGGGTCATTGAGTCTTCTCGATCTACCGCTAGCTCCTCCTCCTCCAGCACCCGTTGACGATGAGGGCTACACGATAAGGGAACAAGAAAATGACAAAGAGGATACAAATTGGTCATCATGTAGCAGCAGCGATGAAGAGGTAACATTCGTTCAGCCCTGTTTTTGATTTTTCTCATGAAATCATTGCAGGATGAGAATACCTTACAACAGTCAAAAATTCGAAGCTTGACCATTCGACCAGCGGACTCGGCCAAAACGATGAATGCGTCTGTAGATGAATTGCGAGATGCTATCGGGCATATCAACATATGTAGGAGTAATACTTTTGACAAGGTGGGTATTGAGCCATTTTTTGACTGCCTTCTTTGATCACGAATCTTTTTTTTCTATTTCTTTTTCAAAAAAGTGTACATTCTGTCTCACTCGGAGTGAGCCCTACTCGAGCGGCTCGTACCTCGCGCGACCGTCTCGCTTAGTCTTTTTGTGAACGTGCCCCCTGATCATTCTTCCGCCCTTGATTAGCGACTGAATCTGGGCCTCTTCCACGCTCAAGTGAAAATGATTAGTGAACACGTTCGCGAAAAAGGTGCAGAAGGCGAGCCGGTTGCGAGAGCTTGAAGCTGCTCGCGTCAGGCTCACTCCGGATGAGACAAAGGGCAGAAATGTTCGAAAGTTTCCATTTGTTTCTCTGCATATGCCAGTTATGGCAGAAATAGTTTTGAAGAACAATTGCCTCTTTGAGACTTCTCCAGTTTATATGGTAGCATATTCAGGACCCGTGGACAATTGGTGGTTCAAATCGTCCCCCTATGTTTTCGCAATCACTTAGTGGCGGTAGCTTAAAGCCGCTTCGACCGTGTCACACTGCTGATGGTCGATTCAGATCGACTTTCAATGGTAATTTGTTTTTTCTGCTAGTTTGACTTTCTTTTTCCAGCTTGTTTACTTCGAGGTTTATCCTTCTAGAGACGGATTTTGGTAAAAGCAATGTCCCGCTGAACTTCTCAGCTTCGATGGGACCAGTAGCAGGAATGGCACGCGCGCGCCCGAGAAGTAACACCCCTACGCTCAACTCTGCCTTTGGTGCTAGCGCGACATTGAGAAAGGTAAGAATTTTTTTTTTACTTTTTCCATATTTGTCATAAATTTTTCATACTTTTGTACCTTTTCTAGAAATCACCGATCTCTTATTTGATATTCTAGGACTCCGTTGGATCATCTGATTGGGGATCTTCGTTTGCTATCAACAATAACGATGGGAATCATTCGTTTGGAGAGTCATCATTCAATCTATCACAGTCTACAGCGAATCTCATGCAGGTATGAGTTCTGTTTTTTGTTAAACTTGGGGCACTTTATTTTATCTTGTTGTTGACATTGTGCTCTATGCCACCGCCTTTTATTGAGTCTTTTTTTTTTCAAGGCCACAATCAGTGAACATCGTGTACCAGTGGCGATGGCAATCAACGAGTATTCGCATGTGTGGTTCAAGGGAGGAGATATTGAAAAGTAAGTTTTATTTTTGCCTTTCCAACATTTGTTTGTTGTCGCCATGCTTACATCGGTTCATACCGAACGATTCTTTTTTTACTGAATTTATCATTTGACAATAGAAGTTCCTTATTTTGATTCAGTCAACTATTTTAGTCGTGTTACTCGAACGTTTGGTACTGTGCTAATCTCCTTTGCTGCCTCATCATTGCCTCTTTTGACGGATGTGCACTCCGACATTGAACCCCTTCTTTTCAATCTTACTGATGCTGACATGATTAAATCTGTGGTTCCGAACAAACAAGTATGTTTATTCTTTCTATTCGTTTTTTATAGATGGATCATGTGTTTACAAGCATTTTAGCTCCTTTTACCTGATTCTGTCGCTTCCCAACATGGACCATCGTATCACTACCAATTCGATCGCCTCGGCCTGGCAAATTGGCTGCTTGCCCAGCAAAAAGAGAAACCGAGCGCCGCATTTTTCAACGCTGAGGTGATTCTTTTTAAGATCTGATCAGTTTATTTGTACTTTGCTTTCTATTTTTGTTTGGTGACGTCTGTGATTCTTTCTTAGGTTATACGTTACGAGTTATGCGATGATGCGCGGGTCACTCAACCTCCGCTTTACATCACTACATATTGGAAGTGTGAAGAGGACCACACAGGTAGGTAGGCATCGGTTTGATATAGTCTACTCTTTTTTGTGTGTTTGTGTGCCATTCTGTCATAGCCCACATCTCTAAGTATACTCTTTTTTCTGTTTCTCTTTTCCACTTTTTTGGCTTTCTTTTTGCTAAATAGTTACTTTTTTCCGAAAAGTAGGTGGTGATATCTTCTTGCTCCGGAAAACTTAGTACGTTTCAGATGTTCGAATCGACTACCAACTGAACAACGAGTGCTCTATAACAACCCCGTTATTGAATTTAGTCTTCACAACCAAGGTATCTGGAGAAGTCAGCAATGTCACATCCGATCCGACGGCTACTTGGTTAGTTTTAATCTGCTCTTTAAATTTATTTCCTTTTTTTTCAAAAGTGATGTTAAGGTCAGCTGACAATAGTACACTATCGTGGACGATCACGGAACTCTCTAGGCATGGAGATGGTGCAGGATCACTCAAGGCTCGAATACATCTATCCGGTGGAGGACCATCACAGCCGGCACATGCTCATGTACAGTTTCAGGTAAACAAAATTTCGACTTTTTTACGTATGTCATATTTTGGTACTGAACATCTTCGAGATTAGTACTGTTCTCCGCTTTTTGGAACCATGAGTGGTGTGGAGTGCTGCTGTTCATTTTTTGCATCCTTATATTTTGCTTATGTCTTCATATCGCTTTTCTAATTTTGATTAGTTTTTTTTTGTGATACAGTAATTTTGGTTTCATAAGGATTCCATAAACTCCTTGTCTGATGTTGGGAATTATTAGGACCTTTTTCTTTTCGAAACTTGGTGATTCCTTTCAGTGGATATGAACGGACATCTATACGCACACCAAAAATAAAATACGAAGTCATGGGGCCTGAATGTCAGTGACCGCAAATGACTTTTTATTGCAGAGCTCCGATACAACAATCTCTGGGGTAAATCTTGCGCTGACGACCTCGGATACCTATCACATGTCTATGGTTCGACGGAAAGTTCTAGCCGGAAAGTACTTCTGCGAACCAGAAGTCCGGAAATAGGTGTTTGCAAGGAAGTTGTACATTGTCTCTAAAATTGCCTGAACTTTGTATGGGATTGCACAAACCCGAAAATCTGTAAGGTTCACTTCAGTCAGCTCAATCTCGTCTTCTGTTGTGATTATCTGGCTTAACAGTGCTTTTAGAGGCCTAATTTTCCGCAACGTGATTTACTGTAATTTGTAGGTTAGCATATTGAATTCGGATGCTTATGTGTATGGTGCTTATTTCTTTCGAATCCTAGAGAGGAAAGAGTCTCTTCCCAGTTTCTTCTTATCGATAATTACGGTGAGCTTCTACCTCGTGATTACCATGTCATGAAGCCATCGATTTTTTCCAGTGAAAATGTTCCAGTCATCTCTTTACTGGCCAAGTAAGACAACGAACAACGACCTATTATTTTACCCCATAATCTAAAGTTTTTTCAGTTGCCTTTGTAGCTTATATTTACCCTAGTTGTACACAACTACGAGTATCCTTCTTTATTTTTGCATGATTGTATCGAATTTTTTGAGATTGTGATATGAAGCGATTTCATATTAAATTAGGGCTTTTCTAATAAAATTACGAGTAATATGGTTTATTGCTATCGTTTTTCTGCATGACACACTCTCTGGTTATGCTTTCTTGAAGTCATAATCAGTTAGAAATGGCGAGTGAAGCATTTAATGCAATTTCCTCATTGAAGCAATAAAAAATTCTTTGGACATGGTGGTGTAAAGAAAGAGAGGAAGTTGAAAAGTGACAGGAAGGTGCAATGCGTGGTAACCGACTTTTGCTACAGACCAAACCATGGTTAAGAAGGTCAGGCATACTTCCCTGTACACATTCACTACCAGGTCCTTTTTTTTGACATCTGCCATCGACCAGAGCGCAATTTGCCACTTTATAGTTACGACCCATCGACAGTAAGGTACAAATTGGTAGATCTGGTTAGCGCTGGAAGGAGGAACGACCATGTTTAGCTACTCTCAACTTGGGATCATTCATAATAAGACATCGCGAAAAAGCAGATCTTTTCAGAAGATGTAAAGTTGCCTGCATTCAAGAGACGAAGTGGAAAGGAGAAAAAAGGGGAGGGGAGAGATACAGGTGACGGCTACAAGTTTCCATACAAGGGATGGAGCAGCGACAGAAATGATGTAGGCATAGCCTCTGCAAACATCGTCTCTGAAGCACTGAGAGATATGATAACTGCTGTAGATGGAATGAGCGGCGGTCTTATGGGCATTGGAATAGATATCGGAAAAAAAGTTTTGTGTGGTGGCTGCATACGTACCGCTAGCGGCTGCGGAGAATCTGAGAAAGAAGAGTTCTGGCAACACCTCGATGACTACATCAGCTCAATACCGCAAGAAGTGCTACATGGGATAGATTTCAATGGGCATGTAGGGCAGCAAGGAACCAGGCTAACTACGACGAAGAACGTGTTCTGGAGTTCTCCAGCACATGACTTGGCCTTAGCAAACAGTACCCTAACAAGGAGACCAATCATCTTGTCACGTATGTCACTGAAAACCGCAGGTCGCGAATAGACTTCTGGACAATCCGATAAAGCAATTTCAGCAAAGTCATCCCCCGCAAAGACTTTGTGCTTCAACAAGGCCACTACTAATGTATTTAAACATCTCAGTCGAGAACGAACATAAGCAATGACGGAGAGTAGGGTGCGCATCATATGGTAGAAACTGAAGCCAGAGCAGCGATGACACGCCAAAGTTGAGGGAGGAATCGGAACATTCTTGGATGCATCTGAAAAACAATCTTCACCAGATGGCAAGTAGTCTGCTAGGACGCACAAAACCGAGAAGGCCAAAGCTCGGTGAGAAGACGTTTTGGTGGAATGATACCATGCAAGAATTGATCAAGAAGAAGAAGATGGCTTTCAAAGTATGGCAGAAGTCAAGAGAAGAGGATGACACCAAAAATATCTAGGTGCAAAATGTGCAGCGAAGAAGAGCGTTTGAATATAGCGAAGGCGTGAAGGAGGACGAGAAATCTACTGAACGCAGGAAGAAGTACAGAAGCCATAAAAGATAGGATACATCTCTACAATATCGGGCGGGCTATTCTGAGAAGTATAAAGGAAATAAGTGGACGATGCGAACGCATTTCTAAGGAGCAACATCAAGCTACTACAGAGCATCTACCATGGTACTTGAGACTATACAAGGACCTCTAAAGAACATCACAGAAGGGGAAGTTTGCAGTGACATAGCAAAAACGAAGAACTTCAAGGCGATAAGACGGGACGAAATATTCGAAGAATTCACAAGGGAAGTGTTAGCAGCCGCAGCGGCTTTTTGACATGGGATAGGCATGATCTTAAGCATCTTGAAATGTTGATTCCAAAACAACCTCAGCTGCAGAACTGATCTGGGTGGCGATTATGGTCATGTTCACTTTTACATTGTTTGAAGTACTCTGTAATCACAGAAACCTTTCAAATGCTTGTTTAAGCATCACAGCATGACTTTGAGGAAGGCGTAGAACTACATTAAACATTGATGGACTGTTTCATCTATGTTTTAGCCCAAAAAATGTTTGCTCCAATTTTTGGCTATTCTCAGCGTTGTAAATTTCCCGAAAATTGATTTCAGCAACTCCCGTCCCAGACTAGTTCTGCAGCTAAAAGGCTGTTTTGGAATCAGCATTTCAAGCTGTTTCAGATGATACCCATTTCATGTCAAAAGGTCACTGCGACTTCAGACACTTCACTTGTAAGAGATGCGGGCAAGGTAGAGGTCGCTTGGCTTACAAAACTCCTCAACGGTACAGGAGTCCTATTTGATAAACAGAGCCAAGAAAGCCGAACTCTTTTACATATCGCGCAATGGTAGGACCAACGGTGCCATATGGAAGCGAATAATGGCCATTTACACTTAACAAAAAGAGAGATATCAATGTAATGGAACACGGATGGTGAGATAAACCACAGGAGTGACAATGCTAGACTGCGTCCCACACGACACTGTACGGAACGTAATGAAAGTGACATCAGTCGTGAGGAGAATGCAAGAGAGACATTACGGAAGTATGGACACGTGAGGCGAAGAAAAGAAGTCACACCACAAGATTGGTCATGTCAGTGGAAGGTGCCAGGAAAGAGGCCGAGAGGAGAGATTCGGTACGCGGCAAACGTTGAGGGGTACGTTAGCCGTGGAGCGCGCCAGCGCAATCATTGGCCGTACCTACTTGGCAAGACAGGCTCCCGCCAGAATGCCGAAGTTATGCCAGCGCTACGCCAGCATTTCGATCGATACACGTGTATTTTGTTGGGGCGGGTCCCCAACGAAATACACGTGTATCGATCGAAATGCTGGCGTAGCGCTGGCATAACTTCGGCACTCTGGCGGGAGCCACAGCTAGTTGGCCCAGTTTTCACATGCTTTTGTTCTCTAACATCGTTTTGATGTTTCTTGGTCGATAAAATCTCATTTCCGTCATTTCTAAGCCAAATTTGTGCGTGATAACTTTTGATTTTCATTTATGGAAGGCAAGTGCCTCGAAGATCTTTCATCTTTTTTGCTCAATCTAGTGAGAACAGAACTTTGAAGAATGTGGACTTCATATTTCCCATGACTAGCTTCAAAAAAAGATGTCGGGTTTGCATTTTCGATGCGTGCAACAGATGGTTGCAATATTTATCATTTTCAACAGTTCCGCTGACTTGAAAAATCTAGTTATATTGAATTTTGTGAGCATGTGCGCTCTCTTTCAAACTGCTTTTTCTGTTGAAGTTGAAGTACAGCTTCAACTGGTATGCGGAAGTAGATAACATAGGAATGTTGCCTTGAATACTTTCGCGTTTGCTTCCTAATACTGATGCTGGAATTTTGCAGTTGATGATTAATGCAGAATTAAGTATCGTTCGGACGTATGCAGGAAGTGTTGTTAGAAGTTAGAAGATTTCGCCTGTTCATATTTTGACGCTGGTAACGCACAAACAAAAGTTTGTGCCAGTGACTTGACGTCCTGAAATGAATCCTCAAGATCAATTCCCCTTATATACAGGACTAGCTGGCTTACCCGGCTCCGCCGTATGTTCCGAATAGAAAGTTCCATTTCTTAACCGATCCAGACCAAACTTGGCACACATACACTTCGGGCCCCGGCGGGTGTCACAGTCCACTTTTCGTTATCGATCGATGTCGATTTTATCGATTTTTCGCAAAATTTGAGCTAGGGGGCTGGAATTTGGCAGAGGGGGGGGGGTGTAATCGAGCATGCTGATCACCCCCACGGGTCGATTACCCCCCTGTGCCAACTCCCAGCCCTGTAGCTCAAATTTTGCAAAAAATCGATAAAATCGATATCGATCGATGACGAAAAGTAGCCTATGACACCCGCCGGGGCCCGTAGTGTATGTGTGCCAAGTTTGGTCCGGATCGGTTCAGAAATGGAATTTTCTATTTGGAACATACGTACAGACAGACATACAGACAGACAGACATACAGACAGACAGACAAACAGACATTCAGCTTTATATATAAGATTAATCGTGATAGTGTTTTTGTATTGGCCGCATAAGGCAAGTAGGTTCCACGAAGTTTTGGAAAGAGTGGAGCTTTCATTCAACCTACCGTCACTGATAGTTCCGCTGACGAAATGAGTGTGACACTGTATCGGTTCTGAAGTATTTTGTCTGTTTGTGTTCTGTTTCTGTGGTACAGAAACCACGCTTGACACTCTTTCCTTGCAAGAAATATTTTGTTAAACCTTCGTCTTGAAAAAGTTGAATTCAATGTCGATTTGAGTGAAGTCTAGTCTGTTCAAACGAAACCAACTCGTTTGGGGATTGTCTGCCATTTGAAGAAATCTAAATATCTGCATTGACTTTTCGCATAATGCTAGTGTTTTGCTGAACATAATAACCCTTAGTCCGTTCATCCTTGAGTGTAGAACTGCTAAACTTTCGAAACTTCACAGAAACGCATAGGAATTCTATTTTCAGTGCCAGTTCGAAATATTCTCTTAACTATGAGTGAGCAGCCATCATGTGCTCCGCTGAATTCCGAGCAAAATTGGACGCTACTTTTTTATTTGAAGAGTCTTCTACTAATACTAGTGGGTGATCAGTTTTATACAGCAGACAGCCAGCCAGCTCATTACAAGGAAATGTTAACGGCAAGATATTCTGTTATGTTATTACATCAGGATACCATACAAATAACTAGCAAGGAACAACTACAGAACGCAAACAACAACAGCAAAAGCAACGTAAGTACATTGAGAGAGTCACTCGATTGCATCTGGCTTCTCAACATTTTTCCAAAGAAAGACAACTTTGGAACAGATGCTCGTTTTTGTTTTTTCCCTCCGGATCAGGCAAAAATCTACATGGGGAAATCCCTTCGAAGTACACCTGAAAAATCCCCCCCCCCCCCCCCGGCCAACTTTAGCTGCCTTGCCAAGTACGGCCAATGATTGCGCTGGCGCGCTCCACGGCTAACGTATCCCTCAACGTTTGCCGCGTACCGGATCTCGCCGAGAGGAAGACAAGATGCGATGACTGGATAAGGTCACAGCAGATATGAGAGAGCTCGAGATCAATGAAGCCTTCGACTAAGAAAAATGGAGGAGATTAACGAGAGCGGCAGACCACTGGCGGGGAAATTGCAAGGATGAAAGTTTTTTTGCGAACGAGCTAGGAGGTGGGAGTTGGTGAGGAGGTATAAATTACGAAATTATCATGGGGCGCGCAAACAAGCGTGTTGAAGTTACAGGGACAGGGGGAATGCTGTATAGAAGCGTAGAATGGCAATTTTTGTATATTATATCGATAGGGCCGTATGGAGCCCTGTTATGTCTGTTACAAGCGAAAACAAGTCACTGCTTATGTTGTAAGTATAGGCTACTTTCAATAATTTCGCAAACCTCGACCTTCCCCCCCCCCCCCCTTCTGCTGCTCCCCTCTTGACGCCTACCATCAAATTGATCAAAGTTAGACATTGAATGATAGATTCTGCATATATCTGAAGCCTCAGAATTTTTCACTAAAATAGGTGTCGTTTTGCGCCAATGTTGAGTTTGTGGAAAAGCCTTCCGTGCTCAAGTAGACTAAAGTAAACCATGAGAATGTCGAAGAGTTTCAAAGATAAGTTAGGGTGGCAGCTACATTTATAGCTCTTCAGGTTCCGTCAACTCTGTACTGAAGGGTTTATTAGGTGAGTTTTCATTCCTAGTCATACCAAACAATTGCAGTCCTAGACAAACAGGTGTTTAGGCTACCAGTTTCAGTCTGATTTTGTAGCAGTGTCTAGAGGAAAAGCAGCAGAGATGAGAGCATGCAGCGCGAAGAATCAGCGCTACAAGTGCGATCTCAACCGAAGTTTCGGCACGATCCTGATTGAAGCAGACTGTAAGACCGTGCTAGAAACCGCTTTTTTCTTCTATCTCAGTAAAAGAGTAGTAGACAACATACACTATAAGCAACATGATTTCATCTCAAGTCGACAATGCTTTTCATTTCATCCCATACTTGTATAGCGTCCTGTTGATACATTCATGTGGCTTTTTTCGTAAGGAAGGTCCATGTTTCAAATTTTACTTCACATCGTAATGATGTTTAGAGGTTCACAGCCAGACCTCAAACAAGTCAACATAAAAGATCCAAACAGAGGTTTGCAACAAGTCAGTATCAGCAACGCCAAACCGCAGCTTACACAAGTATCTCTGCAAGGGCAAGAGAAGGAATCATCATTATGGAGTGCCCTCAAACTTGATTTTGTAAGTCTATCGGGACTCCGTAGCAGTGGGTACGTCTTGTGATGTATCATACTAAAGAATTGTTCGTAGCAATCTCGAGGTTGCAGTAGGCAATTTGAAAGCAAGCGAACAGTTTAGGTACGTATACGAATGACGGCCTAACAGAGTGTTAAGCGGTAAGAGAGTGTTCAGACAATGCCACGTCTTGCATATTTTCGGGGCAAGGGGAAGCCAAAATTGCCTTCTTTCGAACTAGAAGTAAAAATGCAAAAGTTCCAGTGCCTTTGACAGAGTTTTTGGAGGACCTATGCGTGCTTTCGTATCTGAAAGTTTTGATATTGAAAATGTCTCTACGTGGGCGCAGTAAAGGCAGCTTTTCGGCAAAGTGAGGGGTGCCGGGTTTCTGAAGCAATGTTGTAGTAGACCCCCTATCTAAAGATTACAAATGTTAATGTTATGATGCGCAAAAGTCAGGACTGCGAGAATTACAGCGACTCGACGTCTTAAAGGCAGCGTCCGGGCAGATATGAAATTTCAGCGTTTAGAGGCTCCCGTCCTGGTAAAGCCCTTGTCCAACTGGCAGTGCACTAATTTGCTTTTGAAGCAAGAAAACCGCTTCAGAAGTGGCGAACGGGGCGCCCGGCTCGCCCCTTCAATCGATAGTTAGAGTACGTATGCCGCACACAGTCAAGGCATAGGGTCCCACCACGATGCGCCTTAACCTCGGCGGCAAGCTTCCATATTCAAAATCAACAGCTTCTAGAATAGCCCATTTTCGACATAGTCCTACTTTGTAAACTGCATTTTCGCAATCAGCGGGAAGAATAAGCCCATGTAAGCAAAAAAATTTGTCCGAAGTTTTGCCCGGACGCTGCCTTTAACGTTGGTTGGCACCGCGTCCTCACGTCGTAAATCAATCTGGGGTTTCAAAAAAGAACCTATTTCGAGATTTTCGCCCTTGGATCCTTTCATAGTACGCCGCAAGACGCGGCGTGCTGCTGCGTGATGCGGCAGGCCTCTGCGTCCTGTCGGTGCGCCACAGCAGGCCGCGTCCTGCGGCATAGTATGAACCCTTACAAGCTACACAATTAGGAATAGCGGGACGAATAACCCTAGATAAGCGGAAGATCCTCAAATCCATGTTTTGCCGGTACGCCTTTAATACCTTTAAACCTCTACGCAATCCCTAATTTACTCGATACGCTGTGATCACCTTCCAGAAATGATGGCTTTCCAGAGTTAATGAAGCTATATAAGCTGAAATTCTCGAGTCATTTGTGACTTAATATCTTGCATTGCACACCATGCGCGCTATGACAACTTGTGAGATTAGAACCTGCTTTCCTTACTGACCAGCACGAATGAACTCTAAAGCTAATCATCCCGAAACTATTTTTTGTTTAATATCGGTTATTTGAAGGAAAAAAAAGCAACTTCCTGCACACAAATGCGAATTTGAATCCGGTACCGAGGTTAGGTTTTTGATAGTCACCGCGACGACGACGGGGCTAAATTTCTGGCGAGGAATCTTATCAGTTCCTTAGGTGAAACCTTGACAAATTGACAATTTACGCAAACATTTCTTTTTGGCGCCGTTTTCGCAAAAAGGGACTTTCAATCACTTTTTGGGCTAATGGTCATGTTTGCAAATTTCTAAGCCAAACTGACCCATGACATCTCGAAAAGCATCAGGATTCAAAGTCTTCGGTAAAGGGGACAAATGGCGTAGCGGCGTGAGGCGCCATGACCAAAACGGGCTCGGGTTCGATCCGCTCGTTAGCTGGCCAAACCCCCTTCCCTTAGAGGCCGGTAAATTGTTATGAGAATAATCTGGAAGGTAACAACACTAACTTGGTAATCGGCTAATCCACGTTAGTCACTTTAAAAAGACTCGCGTGTATTCAGTACCCTCTTCGACTATGAAGTAAAATGCGTTCGGCGCATGCTCGGGGAGCATTGAAGACGTCAAAACATTCAACTTTAACTAAAGCTGTCGGAAAAAGCTATATGGATCCTCATGACATGCACTCTTCAAAAAACTGTGTGCTGTCGTCTCTGGAATGATGACCTGCTTGCTAGCACGTAGGCTATACAAAAATTTAGCCTAAAAGCTCGACTGCCACTCGCTTTGTGAAGTTGTCACAGACAGATTTTCACACAGACAGGCAAAGGACGGCCGGCATTAGCATGTTGCTACAATATAGTCTTTTCAACATATATACATCACACTCAAATCACTTATGAGTAATGTATATGCCTATTATGAGTCATGTATAGAGATTTCGGGATTAAGCATCTGCTTCATCGACAAATTGATTTGACTTTTCTCCCAGGAGTTTTCTTTTATTTTTCTTCGAAACGAACGTTTTTTGAAGTTCGCGTTGTCATTCTCGAGACTGTTGCTAGTGAGCTGAATAGCCTTGTAGTCAAATTAAAGGGGAGGATTTTCGCTAATAGGTTCCAGAGAGGGTATAGACAAATATCGCAGTTCTTCCAAAAGGCAATAAAAATTTATTCAAACTTGAAAACTCTAGTAAAGCGTAATGTTACTGCTTGCAAACTGCTCATCTCTTTTTTTGAATATTTTTACTCGGCTATTAGCAGCGTAGGGAGAAGTAATTGCAAATAACTCGAGTTGTTGATTACAAAACTCAGCCTCATCATCAGCCTTATTTCTTTCCTTTGCATACTCAAACTAGGGGCTACTTTAGGGTCGCAGTTCCGCACCAGCTAAAGAGGAACGCTCAAGCATAATGCGATTCCCGCAACTATGGAGCTCTAATGTATGTTGACAAAAGTTAGTCATTTTTCATTAAAATTTTCTTTTGAAGAAATGTGAGAATACTGCCATCGATACTACCACAGGTAATGCTGTTACAAATGACATCTTAAATAGTTGCGAAACGTGAAAATATGATTGCAGCTGTGTCCTTAACGCCCAAAGCAGCTAGCGAAACTGAAGCAACACAAGAAGTTACCGAATCTGAAACTCCTTTAGGAGGTTAAGCCTATCGTCAGATAGGAAGGAGATTCAAGTGGATTTTTAGGTATTCGTGCTAGGATAAGGCGAAGTATTGCAAGGGTAAGAAGAAGAACGAGCAAAAGCAGAGAGAGAATATCTGCTGCATTACGGTCAAAGGAGAGGGAGCAAGAACCTCATGTTAGAAAACGAAAGAGTAAAAGGGAAATTGTGAGTTAATGCAGTGTTTCGTCAGACAACGCAATTCGCCGTAATTATGGAAAAACGACAAAACAACAATTGTGATTATTAGACACTATCAATAACAATCTTCATTACAATTCATATGAACAGAAAAAAAGCATAAAGGAAAAAATGAAAAGTGGCAAGATTGCATCATCAAACTTGGTGAGCGCGATACATCATAGATATCCTAAGCTCAAGTTAGACGTTAACCGATTTACTTGAACCAAAGCTTTCCCCTCTCCCTGTCACAATTCGATCTCGCCTTGGCATGTCTCTATCTTATATATAAAGCTGAATGTCTGTTTGTATGTATGTTCCGAATAGAAAATTCCATTTCTGAACCGATCCGGACCAAACTTGGCACACATACGCTACGGGCCCCGGCGGGTGTCATAGGCTACTTTTCGTCATCGATCGATATCGATTTTATCGATTTTTATCGATTTTTTTGCTGAGTTCACCTACGGGGCTGGGAGTTGGCACAGGGGGGTAATCGAGCATGGGGATTCCGAATGCAATATTGGTTTTCAGGATTATCGATTACTTTTATCGATTTTATCGATTTTTTTGCAAAGTTTGAGCTACGGGGCTGGGAGTTGGCACAGGGGGGTAATCGAGCATGCTGATCATCCCCAAGGGGGGTGATCAGCATGCTCGATTACACCCCTGTGCCAAATTCCAGCTCCCTAGCTCAAATTTTCAAAAAATCGATAAAATCGACAAAAGTAATGGACGATCTTGAAAACTAATATTGTATTCGTAATCTGCATGCTCGATTACCCCCTGTGCAAACCCCCAGCCCCGCAGGTCAAACTTTACAAAAAAATCGATAAAATCGATAAAAGTAATGGACGATCCTGAAAACTAATATTGTATTCGTAATCTGCATGCTCGATTACCCCCTGTGCAAACTCCCAGCCCCGCAGGTCGAACTTTACAAAAAAATCGATAAAATCGATAAAAGTAATGGACGATCCTGAAAACTAATATTGTGTTCGTAATCAGCATGCTCGATTACCCCCCTGTGCAAAATCCCAGCCTCGCATGTCAAAATTTACAAAAAATCGATGAAATCAATAAAAGTAATCGATAATTCTGAAAACTAATATTGTATTCGGAATCCCCATGCTCACTTCCCCCCCCCCCTATGCCAACTCCTAGCCTTGTAGGTGAACTCTGCAAAAAAAATCGATAAAAATCGGTAAGCCGGGTAAGCCAGCTAGTTGAATATATGCCGCCATTTTCTTGAGTCATCACTGCTGGTAACATGATAAGAAAATAGAAACATCAAAAAGTGTCCTCGTGTCCTCGCCTCCTCTTACTTTCGAATTCTAGAGTCTTAATCCATTGTAAGATCCACAGGATAGAGCACGCTTCTGAATAGGATCTAGTTTCTGGGATAAGATTAGCAATTTTTACGTTGTCGAAACTTGCGATTAAACACTGTTATAAAGCCGCATGTTTTGATTTTTGTAATTATTGGAAGCGATACTAGTCTCTTCGAGACTTAAGACAGTGCCGAAGCAGTAGAGCGTGTAAGACCACTGAGAATAGGTAAGGGACACTTATCGAATTCACGAGCATGCTGGTATCGTTTCGAAGATGTATAAAGTTTACTTTCCGCCGAAGCTAGCAAGTTAGCGCATCCTTCCAAAAAAATTGATAAATTTTCAGCGCTCTATCTCAAAGAACGCAGCTTCGCAAATTTCAATCATTTTGGAAAAGCCAATGATTTTGGTCTGCACTTTGGTTGCAGAAGCATTACTTCTACAAACTTTTTTCGCCTGATTTACGAGATTATCAGGTTTTGACATGATTGTGGCAATCGCTAGAAGGCTTAGGAGGTTTTTTGTTCAGTATGTTACGTACACAAGGACTTTGAAATACGGTGTGCAAATCTAGGAAAAATGCACGATTTCTCCGGAGCGGGTAAAGTGCAGAGAGAATGAGAGTATTTTATCATTTTTGACCATTTTAATAATGAAGATGTTCACGGCCATGTTTGCACATATGGAGTTCAGAATTGCAAAGAAAAAGAAATGGTTAGGAAAAAGCTATCAAAATCCTCGTCCAAGCCTGCGGCTAAAACAGTTAGTAAACCTACATTAAAAGCAACAGCAGTGAAAAAAATTCCTGACGTTGAAGTGAGTTCGCAATCTATTGCCCACTAAATAAGCTGGATTTGGAATTTGCTGAGTTTTTCATCGTTTAGGAGGAGCAGTACACTGAATATGAGGTAGTGGATGCTCCGATGAAGCCAGCAGTAGCGGAAAGGGACAAGAAAGGGCGAAGGAGACACCGACATAATAAGATTTTTGACAGTTAGCTGGGAATTTTTCGATATGCATCCAGTGCTACATCTTCTTTCAGCCCTCGCTGACGAAGATCGTCCATCGTCTGAGACAACAACAACATTTACCACAGGCTATGAAACTACTGTTACCACAACAGATGCCAAAGAGCGCACGACGACAGAAAAAACTAGGGAGCAGAAAACAAAAAGTGAGTAAAAAAACTGCTATGAGAGTGGGACGATGGATTCAGCTTAGAGAATATTTAGCTAAAACATGTGATGAAGAGGTTCAGCCTTCTGAGCAAAAACAGAAAGGTGACGCGAAGCAAAGCGAAGTTAAACCAGCAGAGGATGTGAACGATCGAAAGCCAGAAATCACTCAAGTGTTGGAAGAGGCTGCTGCACAAGGACAAACAGTCGGAGCAACGCCTGCTGATTCGACTTGTCGTGAGTTTTTCGAATTTTATTGCATATAGAGACCTAAGATGTGGATTCTTTTAGAGAAGGTTGGTGTTGAAGCTGCTCCCTAAAGTTCACCTTAATGATATTTTACTTAACGAAGAACAACGAATATCGACTCTTTTGCACGAATTAATTCTATACAATCTAAATCTTTATTGCAGAATAGTTCAATAAAATTCGTGCTTTATTAAATCTGTCAAGCTCCTCACAGCGAAACTATTTTTTGTAAAGATTCTTGAAGTATGCTTATTTGCGGTTGCTTCTTGTAGGTCTGGGGGGACGAGTTTGGAATGTTGGAATATAACTACAGGCTCCGATGTCGAAGCATGTTTGTCCGTCACGGTCACCAGCTTGTATGTCCTGAAAAGCGAATTTTAAGAAGCTTTCATGATTGGTAGCTCGGCCTTCTTGCTCGATGGTTTTTACTAAGTCCTGAAAGTTTGTAAAAAAAAACTATTGCCTTTCACCCACCGAGAAGATTTTGTCGATGTTCTTGTTCACCATATTGATGCATGTCTGCTCGGCTGATGCTGGCTCATTTGGAGGAAGATGCTTGCATTCTTGGAGCAGCTGAGAAGTAGGCTTTCAGTAATGTCTTTAGGTTACAACGTTTAGTTGCCATCATGATCTTGTCTTTAGGTCATAGTTGACTGTCATTTTTATAATTTTAGTCATTTCAAAAAGATGAGGGTATGATAATCAAAACACGTGTAGTGGTGTTTGTGTACAACTAAAAATTTTGATTTTGAAAGGTTACAGTAGCAAAATCATTTCTAAGCAGCATGCCGAGAGCAAATTAATTACGTATGCTAAGCTTCTCCATCTCGGCACATTTATCGTTTTCAAAAGAGAATGAACTGAGTTGTTAGCCTTGGGATTCGAATGGACTAACAAGCCGCTTTTTGAATAAGAGGTTATATAAATGCTAATGTTCTCCATAACATCAACTTCTCACTTTCTCGGATGCTGAAGCAAATGACATTCCTCGCCATAGTCAAAACTGCACTTACATATTCTCTGGCTGAGGACCTTTTAGACTATTTGATTGAGAAACCAGATTTCTTACAAATTTTTATGGATCACCCAAATCTGATCATCATACCTCACGCTGGAGGGCCTGTTCGTTGGTCACGTTATTATTGAAGTGATGTCTAGCCTGAGCTATGAGGTGCTCGCAGATCTGGCATTCGGATGGAGCAGGAGGAGCCGGACGAGTCGACTGCTGAATCACAACTCACTTTTTTTATAAACCAAAAACTACAAGCAAATGTCAAACTTACTGCGAAGGCAACAGCGATGAGAGCAACTAAGACACAAACTTTGGCGTACATGCTACCCGCCAAACTTTACAATTGCTTGATTAAATACCAGGAGCTTATCTTAGCACTGATTGCGCATCAACGGTGGAGTTACCTTGATAGCACAGTCCCGGATGTATGGGTGCGGTCCTTCATTTTGTGACTTGAAAAGGCTCAAATTTCTTTTTCGGGAGACCTCTTGAAATTCTGATAGTCCCTTGTGTGAATATTTTGGTGATGCACTAAATCAGAAGAATCGTCAATGTTTGTTATTTGGGAGATACCTTATTCTTTTCGCTTTGCGAAGATATGTTGAGTGGAGGTTTGTAAAGTTTGAGTACTAAAGAATCAAAGGCAGGATGTTCTCATGAGAATTAGTTTTCCTTTCACCTATGGCCTTAGATGAGGAAGATTGGGATGGGTTCCTATAATTAAGAATCTATCAAAACACAGCTGAGATGGGAAGATCATCACAGGAAATTTGATGCAAGCTACGACATTTGTAATCTCTTGATCATTTGGACCTAGAAAAGAGACCGTTATTTCTTTATTACTGTAGAGTATAGAGTAGTATTAGAAACAGCGTTGCAATGTGTTTCAGCTCCGCTTTCCTTCCCATAGGTAGAGTGTTTTTCAATAGGTCTCTCCAAAATTTCTTTATTCAACCTATTATAAGTCTTGTGCAGACAGGCATTGATTCAAAACTATCAACCCAGATTTCCTTCGCTTTCAACACGTTGAATGGTTACTCTTTTGGTCACTAGGTTAATTGCCGCAAGCCCGTAGTTTCTACCATGTCCAACTTCAGCAAGTTTCTAAACTTTTCATTCTAAGCCTTTGAAGTTTTAGTATGAAAACTCGATAACAGGTGATTAGAGTAAACAAAGTGCGACAGGATGGCTTGACATCTTTAACTGGTTAATATTAGGTCGCACGAATGTTTTTTTCGTACATTGACCTACCAAATTGCGTGGAGTAATGGTAATTGGATATTCAAAACGCTGTCCAGCGCCAATCTCCCTCTTTTCAACAACTGGATAGCAAGATGATTCTTTCAATTGAACGCGGGAATAATCGCTAAAGATTGCAACCCTTCATTTTCACCTCGTCTAACATCCGCTAATTTTCAGAATCTTATTTGAGAGGAATCTTCGATAATAAATGGTCGCGAGCCCCAAAGTGATGCAGTTTTGTGCATTTGTTAGCTTGTCCAGCTTTTTAAATATAAACGCGGGCTTGGAGTTGCCTCTACCAAATAAGCTCTAACCGTCCCTCGGGGGAGATCTTGAGCCCAACAAGCTACTTCTGCGAATAATTTGAGCTTTGGTCACAGTGATATGGCGGAAAGCTGCCTTGGAAGGACCACTTGTAAGGCAGCGTCAGTGGGAACAAGAATTCAAGGGCGATCTAGGCTGCCTGGACAATGATGACGAACTTTACTTACAACGCACAGACGCTTGCATTGGACGCATACATTTCATGATGTACTCAAGGAAGGTCAACTACGATGTCATCGATAAAACACCACTGAGTGAACGGTACATTCGATGCTGGGGAGAGACTCTTTTTAGAAACAACATGTGATCGCTGAGGAGTTGGCGATGTTGGAGTCCTAATCAACATGAGTTTGTCCATAAATGGCGAATCCTTCAAACAACTAACAACCCGAATCCGACATTCACAAGTATCAGAATGTTGATCAACTCCTACCTCGATTGTCTTCGTGGCATATTCCCCCATATCAAGCCAGGAACAGGAAGAGTTCGAGGGCTTTTATATGGACTGAAAAAGTTTTGCAGAGAAGACCACTTTTACTAGATCAACTCGATGTTTTGAACGCCAAGAACGGAGCCAGAGGGTCGCCTGCGGAGCATTGGGACCCATGGACTATAGTGAGACGAATAGGGGGAAAGACTGTCCGAGTTCATCTTGACGACGAAAATCCGTTTATTGTTTTTTGAAAAACCCCTTTCCCAACGCTGGACCTGGAATTCGCCAGATGGAGAGTACCACAACGAGATTGACCACATCAACATCAGGAAGGTACCACAACAAGAAGGTGCCTGACGGACGTCGCTGTCAACCCGAATTGCTTCACGGAACCCACGGAATGGAGAAAGAGCGTCAAGTTTAGAAAACCTTGTCCCACGAATATTATGATTGGGACCTGTTTGGCGAGATCCGTGATCGACAACATCGACGAGGAATACGAACTGCATTCAGCTTCTCCACGATTGCGGTATGGAAGCCGAGAGGTCAAGAAGTAAGAGGAAACGTTTTGGAGACTCTGGAGCTGATACGTCAGTGTGGACGAGCACAAGCCACGTGTAACTACCGCCTGACGTTCGAGCTTGCGAAGCGATGCAGAGAAGCGATAAGAGAAAATCTTAAAGAGAGAAGAATGGCAGTAATGGTTGATGTCGTGGAAATTGGAAGAAGTATACGCAACTTCCACTCAAGCTTTGTCAACACCCACCAAGTACAAGACCAAGACTGCACTTCACCGCCCCGGAACCTTAATTGTTTCCCGAAGGTCAATAATATCTGCTGCATGACGAAGGCGGTTGCCCAAATAGATTGCGCACGCGGCGCGCGGGCAATTGTCAACCACCGGGCGCTCGCACGCTCGGACAGCGGTCATCCACTGGAGCGTGCGCGAACCTCGTGGCTGACAATTCGCGCGCGCTGCGTGCGCAACAGCCTTCAACCTATTTGGGCAACCGCCTTCGTCATGCAGCAGATATTGGAGAAGATCATCCATAAATTCTACTCGGATCTCTTCGAAGCCACGTCCGGCTGTCTTCATTCACTTATGTCGCAATGTCTATACTTCCTTCCGAGATTCGTCATGCTATCATGTCGATGAATAATCGTAGCGTACTCGGTCCCGACACAATCAAGCCATAATATCTAAAAAATCTTTCGCCAATTTATCTAGACTTTGGAAACTCTCCACGCGGCATCTGACGGAAAGCAAGGTCCGAAGTCCATGGAAAACCAGCCAGACTGTGAGGCTGCACAAGAAGAGAGATTCCCGCGTCATTGGCAATTACCGACCCATCTGCGTATTGTCCGTAATTCACAAACTCTTTAGGGAGTCATTTTCAACAGGATCGGGAGAATTAAATAAAGGACAACCAAGCAAGCCGGGTTTCGAAGAGAATCTTTACAGTAGACCACGTACACACTGTGTGAAGGTTCATCGAAGTATCACGAGAGTAAAGGATGCCGTTATATCCCATTTTCATCAACTTGAAAAAGGCCTTTGGCTCGGCTGAGTCTGACTCCGTCATCGATGTCTTGAGTATTTAAGGTATACCCAACCATTGAATCAAAAAACTAGCTGTACAGCGACTTCAACCAGCATCACATCATACAAAGGCATCATCACTGATGTGAAAAGAGGTGTGCGACAAGGGGTATATCGCCAAAGCTATTCAGCGCTACTCTACCCTCGAGAATTTCAGAAGATTAACTAGTACGAAATGGGAGTGAGAGTCGACCGCGACTAGACCTTCGCTTTGCTGATTACATCGTATTGATAACACTAACAAAGAAACGATACTTGATGTCCGTGGGCTTTTGAGATGAAAAGTATACCATCACATTCGTCTTGGAACGCTGATTCCGAAGCTGATTCCGTTTCTGGTAAACTTTCCTCTAGAAAAAGTTATGAAGGAATTTCGCGTGAATGGTAAATCTAAAGGAAATACTGTCGAAGATGCATAACTTTCAGAAAGAGGCTTGATTGAGGCAAAGCAAAACTGAAAACGCAAAAGGAATTGAACCTAAATCTGCATCAACTTGCTATCGCATTAGCCACTACACCACATCTTACCGGCGGTTTTGGCTTCCGACCACATCTCCTTTGGTGCGAAAATCTTTCACAACTTTTTTTTCCGAGAAACGATTAGCAGAAACGAAAGTCAATTCGGAGTCAGCGCTCCAAGAGAGTGTAATGGTGTATAATCTCATCTCAAAAGGCCACGGACACCAAGTATAGTTTCCTTGTAAGCATTACGCAAGAGGAACAAGTACTAGCCCGGTTTATCTCCTGTCTAGGACGACTGGCACCATACTAACAGTATTTCATAGATCAAATGATACACCTTGAGTGTAAAGATAATTGTAAAGATAAAAGGTTTGACGAAGTATGTGGAAAGGTCTGTCTACGGCTGAACTTGACGAAGACGATGTTTGTGAGGAACGGAAGAGTGCCTGATGCACCTTCATGCTCAGCGGAACCACAGCGAATGCTCAACCTACACCTACCTAGGCCGAGAACTCAATTTGATGAACGATCTAGCTCTGGAACTGAGCAGGAGGAAACGTGCACCATAGGGAGCTCATAAGACCGGAGGACACAGTGACGAAAACCAAGAAACATCAGGTTTCGTGCCTACCTCATTGACTCGACAATTGTTCCTGCTTCAAAGGCTTCAGGAAAATGGTTAATGAGGAAGTAGGATAGACACGCACTGGCATCATAGAACTTGCTGTTGAGAAAGTGATGTTCGGAGTGAACCAACTTACGCAAGGTGGAGTTCTACCCTACTCAACGATGGATGATCAGCTGCCGCATACGCCAAGCCGAACAAGATAAGAATGGATGGAGGCATCGCTGGTACCTCTTGCGCAACACGGTGAACATTACAAGTGATCACGATACAAGTGATGATTTGAAGCCGCCAATTTGCATCCGATGTCTTCATGCCTCTAAAACGTAGTAGACAATTTCGGGCCATCATGCAACTTCCCTTTCTGGTGGCTATTCTTCCTTTGAATACCAGCGAAATTTCAGGAAAAAATTGCCGTACTTGTTAACTTTATAATGGACACCGTTGCACCTAAATAACAGATTTTCTGTTCTGAGGTGGTAGACTTTTTTGCTCTATAAGATTAGTGTGGATAACCGGTTTCTTCAACATCAAAGTTCTGAAGATTTTACATGTTTGGTACAATGATGTGTTACCCCTTATTTTTTGCAAATCAAGGCTTCCAAAAGATCAATGAAAAAACAAGCTGAAAAATAC